TCTTTATTAATAAAAGTTGTAATTAAAAAAAAAAAAAAAAATTGCCAAACTTAAATATAAAATTAAACTATAGTTTAAAGATAAGATGTTGAGAATATTTTTTATTTTCTTTTTAAAAATAACATTTTTAAAAACTTCCAAAAACTAAATGTTATTAAAATTATAATATCAAAAAACACTATCATGCATATCAAAATGCACCTTTTAAAACAGTTTTAAGAAGTTTAATGAATTTTTCTAGATTTCATATGTTCATATGTCAAAGTAGGCTTATTGCACGTTACCTAGCTGGGACTATTTTCAGGCGCTGCGTAATATCATTGCGCCTGCTGCACCCATGGTACTGCAGCAAAGTTCCTTGATTATTACGCCGGAATGAGAGTATAGTTTTTAGCCATATCGGCCTAGAAAATCACAACTTTTCATTTTCTGTCGGTCTTAGTACAGAGTTTTCTTAGTACAGTCGGTCTTAGTAGAGTCAAGTTTTAAATAGGAAAAATATAGAAACTCTTTGGTCATTTTTCAGCGAGATGCTAACGGTCTAATCAGATTCAATGATCTATGCTAAGCTAAGCTAAACGTGCTACCGCCAGACCCGGAGATCGGCTGAATGCATTCGAAAACGGTAAAACTCAACTGTTTAGCTCCAGGGGAGTATAAAATGAGCCTATTTTCAAAAAAGTGGAGTGTTCCTTTAAGGTGTTTCTCATGTTATCTAACTGCAATTATAGTATAACTGTCTATTATTTAATGATAAACATTAACTATAATGCGCTTCATAAAATAGAACTACTCGTCAGATTTCTGAGAGATTAACTAATGCGTTAAAATGTCATAAAATGCTGTAGTTTCTCAATGGCGCTGACGTGAACTATGATTGGAAATGTCAAAATTCACCCCAAAAAGAAAATGGTGTCATCATTTATTCAGCCTCAATTGTTCTAAACCTGTATGAGTTTCTGTCTTCTGTTAAAAACTAAAGCTATTTTGAAAAATGTGTTAAACCGAACAGTTGACTTCCATAGTATGTGGAAAAATACTATGAAAGTCAATGGCTACCATCAACTGTTTGGTTAAAAACATTCTTTAAAATATCTTCTTTTGTGTTCAGCAGAAGAAACAAATTCATACAGGCTTGGAATGACTTGAGGGTGAGTGAAGAATGACAGCATTGTATTTTTGGGTGAACTGTTATTTTAAAATGGCCACATTTTGTAAGTTCACTTCACGGCAAGTAATAAAGTGTAAGTCACTCACACACCTGCCATTAACTTTAACTTTAACTTATTGCTTTTATTATTTTGAGAGCAGGCGGTTACTCTGATAAAATCATATTGAGGCTGAGTGTTTATAAACACAAACCATTGAGTAAGCACACACACACACACACACACACACACACACTCACACACACACCTCTAAACAAACACAAATAAACTGCCATCCAATAAAAGCACCTGTAAGACTGTCAGTCGCCAATCAAATTGCTCCATTACTAGAGTTACTGTGCTTAGTGTGTGAGTTTTTCATCTAATTCACTCAGAGTCTGTGTGTGTGTGTGTGTGTGTGTGTGTGTGTGTGAGTGAGTGTGATCTCACACTTTTGTGTCTTTATTCTTTTAACAAGAAGGATAAAAGCACTAGAGTGCTTCTAATGTACATCAGTAATGTTGAGAGCAGAGGAAGTTTTTATAAGACAGCTACATTTCGCAGCAATCTACTGCTGCACACTTTACACAGACTATTAATCTGCATCTACTTTTCACACATCCACTGTTTAGAAGGATGAAAATATAGAGACGCCGTTTATCTCTGCTGCTTTAGATGTGCATGACAAACCTGCATGACTTTATTTATTTCATGGAATGGAAAAGAAAGCTTTTTTTTTTTTTTTTTTTTTTAACTGGTCTTTTTCTACCACAAATTAAAAAGAAAACAAATTGTAAAAAAAAAAAAGTAATTGTGACTTCTTATCTCACAATTCTGACTTTATTTCTTGCAAATTTGAGTTTGTATCTAGCCATTTTGAGAACATCTATAGCTCAACAATAGCATAATAGTAGCTCAAACTTGTGAGAAAGTGAAATTTGTTGTAAATTTACAATTCTGAAAAAAAGGTTAGAATTGCGAGTTTATCTTGCAATTCATCTTTTTTTCTTGTGAGATTATATCTTGCAATTCTGACTTTTTTTCTCAGATTTTTAGATATCTTTTGAGGCGGGATTGCGAGACGTAAGCTCAGAATTCTGAGAGTAAAAATCAAAAGTGCAAGATGTTAAATCTGAATCCTGGAATAAAAGTCAGATGTGCAAGATGTAAACTCAGAAAAAAAATTCTGAATTCCGAGTTTATAACACACTTTTGACTTTATTTCTCACAATTTTGAGCTATTATCTTCCAATTCAGCTTTTATCTCAGTATTTTATATATATTTTAAGGCAGGATTGCGAGATGGTAACTCAGAATTCTGAGAATAAAGTCAATTAATTAAGTCATGCGGCATGTTGAGAAAGAATTCAGACAATAAAGTCAGAATTGCAAGATGTTAACTCATAATTCCGATAATAAAGTCAGTATTGCAAGATGTTAACTCAGAATTCCGAAAATAAAGTCAGAATTGCGAGATGTTAACTCAGAATTCCAATAATAAAGTCAGTATTGCGAGACTTTAACTCAGAATTCGGAGAATAAAGTCAGAATTGCGAGATGTTAACTCAGAATTCCGAAAATAAAGTCAGTATTGCGAGACTTTAACTCAGAATTCGGAGAATAAAGTCAGAATTGCGAGATGTTAACTCAGAATTCCGAAAATAAAGTCAGTATTGCGAGACTTTAACTCAGAATTCGGAGAATAAAGTCAGAATTGCGTGATGTTAACTCATAATTGCAAGACAAAAATTCAAAATTAAGAGAAACGTCAGAATTGTGAGATATAAGCTAAAATAAATAGTCTGCGTTGAGATGTCTGTTTGTTTGCAGTGTTCAGCACTGTACACATTGCAACCTATGTGGAAAGAAAAAGTGGAAATAGTGCTGTTTTACCAGATGGTGTGCAGGAACTCTTTCTTCCTCTCTGAAGTTTGTGGCGATGTTGTTGAATTCTTCATGAAATGATCTGTGGCTCATATGTGCTTTGATCTCAAACTAATCCAGATTGAGAATACAGTTTTCGCCCGTGAAAATCTGTATGTGTGTGTGTTGCAGGTTCGGGGACGGATACACACTGATCATACGTGTGTGTGCCGATCAGGCCGACCTGTGCACAGTGGAGACTTTTGTGCGTGACACATTTCCCGGCAGCACTTTGAAAGAGAAACATCACAACACTCTGCAGTACCAGGTCCCGCAGGGAGAGGGAGCCCTCGCACACATCTTCAGCCAACTCAGCAAACACCAGCAGCTGCTGCATGTGGAGGATTACTCTGTGTCTCAGACCACACTAGACCAGGTAAAACACGCACACACACACACACACACACACACACACTCACACACACACACACACACACCTGACGTATGAGGATCAGCTCTCTGATCCTGCCCGGATCAACTACACAAACATGAAAAGAAATACAATATGCATGTGTCAATCAACATTTATATTTAGTAGTTTGAAGCAGCTGTAAATAAGGATGGGAATCATAAAAAAAAATAATTCTGCTTAAGATTCTGACTTTAGTGTTATTTTAAAGAGTACTTAAGGAAACATATAATAATAGTTTATATGGAATACATATAGTTTAAGAGAATATATGTGAGTGTGAACTGAATGTAATGTTTTCTGACACTTAAGAGGGTTTAGACCCACTTCAGTAGTACTTCAGTGCATCTTTATATGTAATTTCATAAATACTTCTGTTGTTTAAAATTTTTGTACTGCTGAATGTACATTTATGATAAATTAAAATATACTTTAATTTATATTGAAACTTGTATTTAAATCTTGTATTTAAATACATTGCTAATTATACATTTGTAATGATAAAGTTGCAATTTAGTACTTTTAAAATATATTGGCTTTAAATGCAGTATCAAATAACACACTATAGTTAAAATGATAATCAAGTACTTTACATGCGCTTTAGTATGTTAGTCAACACATCAAAATAAGTGTTCTTCTTTAAAATATGACACAATATTATAAAACACAATGATTTAAAATGTACTTTAAAGTAAAACTTTTAATTTGACATTATCACAAAGGTCACTTTTTAAAAGTCTACTTAAGTGTGTTTAGAAACAGTCATGAAAGTGTCTCATTTTAAGTCACTTAAGTTGCCTTTTATTTCATTAATATTATATTATTTGCACATACATTTTTTTTATATATATATACTTATAAGATTTGAAGTACACTACAAGTGCACATTCAATATAATTAAGTGCACTTATTTTTCATGTACTTGACGATTCGGGTTCTTTAAAGAGACAGTTCACCCAAAATTAGAATATCATTCCCTGGAATCATTCAGTCAATCATTGTTTGAGGTTAAACAAACAAAACAAAAAAATGATTGGATTATCATGATAAACATGGCCAAAGTTTGGACGTATGACAGAGTATTTATCGCTACGCAAAAGCTGCTCTTTAGCTCCACCCACGACACGCCTCCAGGAGCGCGACTGTTTTCAGAGAGAAGCTTCTTTTATAAATCTGATAAAACTAAAGACTCTTCAGTGATATGAAGGATGCAATACTACTCTATAGGTACTCAAGATTAACATGAGATTGGCTGATACTGTATGCGTTCTGTCCCCGTTAAAGGCTAAAAATGTCACAGCAGAAAAAAGACAACATCTGCTTTGTAGAAATAGACTATAAAGACAGTGAGATTTAGACATGGTTTCTTCCTCATTCTACGTGTTTCTGTGTCTCTTTCAGGTTTTTGTGAGTTTCGCGCGGCAGCAGCGTGATGAAGAGAACGGAGCGTTTGAGAACGACGTGGATCTGAATGATGAAATACAAACATCAGCGACATGAATCAAACACCTATCAGCAGAAACCAGGCACTTTACTAGAGTTATTTTATTTATTTGACATCTAAATCTCCATGTAGGCCACCAAGATTTGAAGATGTAAAACGTCCAACCAAGAACAGAGAGAAAACCTTCAGGAAAACTCAGGGATCGTTTTTATACAAAGTTTTTATCAGTGAAATATCTGTCAAATTTCTGTACACATTATATTTTTGCCAAATGCAAAGTGATTATAAATTTAAATTTGCATTGTGTATTGTAACAAAAACTGAAGGACTAATTCACACTTTATTTTTGGGAGATTTGGGGTTTATTATTGACTTTCTATCAAAGAACAGAAAGACATTTCAGCTTTATTGTCAGTTTATTTTCTAGTTGTCACTTGAACTTATTGAAGGACCACATGCATTGATTTTTGCTTATGAATCTCAGGACTAAAATGTCATGCACTTTAGAGCAGCGTTTCCCAACATTTACTGTCTTACATACCTGTACTACAACGTCAATAAGGCTGAAGTATAACCTAATGTGGTAACACTTTATAATAACTGTCATTTATAAATCATTCACAAACAGTATGTAATGCATAACAGATCATTAGTTAATATATATATATATATATATATATATTCACATAGCTAGAAACATGAGATTATGTTCTTGTTAATGTTTCCTAATGAACTTACTAAACATTACCTAATGATTAACATATGATTATTTAATGTAAATTGAAATGCTTACAAATATCAGTAAACTTTCAGTTCATATGATCTTCATTTGTTGGTCTTTGTTTGTTGTGTAGACCTCTATTTACACATCTTAGTGAATAATCTATTAATTATTTGTTGTTAATTATGTTTTTGCAGCACCCAATCTAAAGTGGAAACTATTCATCATTTGTAAATATTTACTAATCATTACTACCTTTATGAGCAGTCATCTCAATGGCAAAAAAGTGTCCCGAAAAACCTGAATTTACTCTATTCACACATCTTTACTAATCATTTATTAATCATCTGTTCATGTTTTTGCAGAAGCCAATCTAAAGTTGAAACTATTCATCATTTGTAAATGTTTATAAACGATTACTAATCATTTAGTATCTTTATGGGCATTGGACGTTCAGCTAATGTAACAAGGTTTGTGTAAAGGGTGGCTGGTTAAGTTTAGCTAAATGCTTGCTAAAGACATAACAGATTGTAATTTTGGTGCAAAAAAAAAAATGTTTTTATTGCCTCAACACTCACATTAATATACTACTCCACAGTATATCATTAAACAGGACAGCTATTCCTTTAATCATAAATAAACAGGAGAAAACAAATCATGGTTTAAAAGAAAAATACTTGTTCATTTATCAAAACAATATAATATAAACAGATTGAACCGTGTTCCATTATAGTAATCAAAATGAGCCCTGTACACTATTGAGCCCCTAACCTAACCCTAACCCTAACCCTAGCCCTCTAACCCTAACCCTTTAACCAACCCTTAAACCTACCCATACCACCAAACCTGTCCCTAAACTTACCCGTATCACACCTCAATAGCAGCAGAAGTGTTGTGCATTAACACAAACTTTTAATCATTTTATAACATCAGCAGAAGTGTTGTGCATTAACACAAACTTTTAATCATTTTATAACATCTGTTAAAATCATTTGTAGATTTTCAATAAGTGCTTGATCATATGGAATTGAAAGTTTAATGACATTTGTAAGCATTTTAACTTACATGAAATAATGATTTGTTAAACATTATCTAATATTTAATGAGTATACATTAACACACATATAATGTGTGTTAATGATTTATTAATGAAAGTTATTAAAAAGTGTCACCATAGGTTAAACAAGCTAAATCAAAATCTATTTTGTCTTTAAGTGCACATGTACCTGTGGTTGGGAATCACTTTATGTCTGTAGGAAACACACTCCTGTATGAGTGAAATAAAGATGATCTATGCAATGAGAAAATTTTTACCTCAGCACTTTTGTGCTCTTAATCCTGCCGTGTCTTCTGCATTCGTATGCACTCCCAGGATCCTGTGCGTCTGCCGCTCGGATGTTTGTTCTGCTTATTGCTTTATGCACAGACACACATTAAACATTTGCACACTCTGCCGAGCCTCGGCTTTCATTTCGCAGATTCAACCTTTCCTGCTTCAGACACTCACTTCGGCTTGTTTTCTCTTTCTTTTTCCAGTCATGATCTTTAAGTAACTGATTTTCTTTTACAACTTCCTACAAAAAGCCGCACTTTTGCAGCCGGGTCATTCCTGTAATGCATTAACTTTTTCCTTCTTAAGAACTCGAAGAAGAGGCTTTTGTGAAGCCACTCACACAGGCCTGTAATTACACAAAGAATGATTCTAGCCCCTATAAGCTGATATTTGGACGCCGGCCGAGGCCGCATTTAACTTCAGCTTTAGTGAGAACAAATTCCAGAGTCACTCTCAGTTTGTGAGAGCGTTCAAGTCCCAACTTTTGAAGAGTCCTGTGGCACTGCCAGCGAAACTTGGGATTTTGCGAGAAAATGCAAAAGTGTTGATGGGAATAATATGAGATGACAGGATAAAAAACTATTAATACTTTTGTAGGTGAAAATCTTCTCGGGAGATTTCAGTACTTTTTACGAGCAAATGCAAAAGCATTAAAACTTTACATTTGCTCACAAAAGTTTTGCATTTCCCTGAGAAATGTTACGCTTGCTAGAAAAAGATTAGCGTTTCCCCAACAAATTTTGCATTTACACACAAGATTTCTGTTCCTCCACAAGAAAATTTGTGTTTTCACATAGCTAGTTTTGGTTTTGGCTTGTTAGTTAAAAAGTTTTGCATACCCACAAGAAACATTGCATTTGCACAAATAAAGTTTTGCGTTTCCCCACAAGAAACTTTGTGCTTGCATTTAACATTTTTTGCTTTGTTCCAAAAATACTTTGCATTTGCATGCGAAAATTTTAGTTTTTTTGCTTGAAAGATTTTGAAAAATATCCCTAAGAAACTGCATTTGCTTGCAAAACGTTTGCATCCCCTCAAGAAACATTGCATTTGTTGGCAAACGTTTTGCATTTACCCAAGAAACTGCATCTGTAACACTAATGTTTTGCATTCCCCCACAATAAACTTTGTTTGCATGCAAAGATTTTTTTCTACTGAGAAACGTTTTGCGTTCTGCCACAATAAACTTTGTGCTTACATGCAATAATTGTTCCTTCAAAGGACTGTGTACATTTAAAAGTGTTGCATTTGCATGCAAAAGTTTTGCATTTCCTCAAGAAACACTTTTCTTTTCCGTTAAATGTCCACACGGAAATGAGAAACAGTCCACACACGAGCTGCAGGCCTGTTGTCAAGTTCATTATCATTTTTAACCTTACATTACATCCTCTTTGCAAAGCTGCATTAAACTCGGTGTCATTGCCACATACTCTTGTCTTTCTCTCTGGCCTTTTAGAGCGCCATTGTATTATGAAAAATGAAAACACTACAAATGAATTTGAACTGACTTTATCATTTGTGATTCTACACTGGGAAGATCATCATTCTTGGAGCATTTTCAACAGTTAGGATTGTTATGTTGTATCAGAGTAAATTACACAGCATTAATGTTGACTGTCCTGGCAATAGTGCTTTTTTTCTTGGCAATGCATACTGTAGACAGTGATTCACTGACTGAACTCAAATACTGAACCATCCCTGTGAGGAACATGTTTGGTTGTTATGGCAACTGTTAAGTCACATTGATATTGAGCCAGTAATAACATTATGAATGAGGCAAACTATTTTGGCCATCAAACACACACACACACACACACACACACACACACATAGACTCTCTTTTCTTTGAACTGATTAATACACTACTCATTGAACTGGTAAAATACACCAAAGGACAACAATTTAGATGTTAAACTGAAGCTAAACAATGCAAAATCACCTACTCAGTGCTGTAAATCACTTTGGTTTAAATGATTTCCCAAGGACCCCGTCAGTGCAATTAATGGTTAAGAAACATCATTTTAATTACGTGATCTATTATTCATCAGGACTTTTTTTTTTTATTAAATATTAAAGTGCATTGCACTGGAATCTCTCTGTGTCAGTTAGAAAACTTTGTCACTTTTTATTTGTCTGCAAAGGCAGTTTAAAAATGTTTGTAATTTTACCACAAAGTGAATCTAATGCACTGAGATACAAGAGAATCAGGAAACACAAACTAGCATCCCACTGACCCTCGTCCTCACAAAAACACACACTCTCAGGGCATCAGACCTGGCGCCCCAACGTAGGGTCAGGACTCGCCCAGCAGAAAGAAGCTGATTACAGCCTATCGCTCTCATTTGCTTTCTATCTCTTTATCTTCGCTCAGTTTCACTACACACGACTCGTGGCACACTTCACACTGGTGTTCAAACTGAATCTCTGGTTTGGGGGAGCAGCAGGTTTTTCTGAGCAGCAGGGGTCGATCTGGCTGTATTGAGGCTGTCCGCGGGTGTTTGGTGGACACATATTTATACCAGCTGGCACAAAACTTATGCAATGTTCACTCTGTTATCTCTGAACATCTCAGTTAAATGTCAGTTCCTTCGACTTCACCTGTTACTATATTTGGCTAATATGCAGATTTTAAATGTCCTAAATATACTTTTAAAAAAGAGCTCTTATGAAAAATAATAGACTTTTAAAAAATATACTTAAGTGCAAACTGAATAATAATGTTTTCAGACACTTGATTTCAATGTTAATTGCAATTAAATTTCAAATGCATTATAGTTTAAAATTAAATGTATACCAAATGCAGTTAGTTTAATTTTGGCATGCTTTTTTGACCTATTTAAGTGGGACTTACGTGCTTCTTTATTTGTAATTTCATAATCACTTCTGTTGACTTTGAAATATGGTTACAGTGCACTTATAAGCATTTATGATAAACTAAAATATACTTTGCCATTTCTATTGAAACTTGTATGTCATGTATTTAAATATATTTGTAATTACACATTTGTAAAGATGACATTGCAATTCAGTACATTTAAATATATTAACTTCAAATGTAATATTGAAAAACAAACTACAG